AATAGGTACATTATTTTTTCAACATAATTAGTATGTACAGTTTTATTCATAAACAATTATAAAGTGGATTATTAGTCATGTATAATTCATAAAAAGAAAATAACATAAACATTTTATTAAACAAACCGATTACCTAAATTTGAATTTATTGTTAAATTTTTTTAAAAATGTTTCAAAATTAATTCCTACATCAATTATAACCATTTGAAGATTTTTCCAAATTCAACATCTGTCATTATATACAATCCAATTAAAAACAGTTTCCATATTGATTCCTACATTAATATACAAAATGCAATAATGGCTTAGTTGGGGGTATTTTTGGAATCTGAAAAGTACAATAAACCAGATTTTATGCTTAATTAGGTAACTTGCTGAGTTGGATCCTAGTAATGAGTTTTTACTTATACAAATTGGGTATTATTTATAGGAACAAAAAGTGAAGGGTTTTAGGTCCGGCAAATTGAATTTGAAGGGTGTAAGCCAAATTTACTATTTATATTTTCAATGACGTTGTTTTGGTTATCGTTAATACTTAGAAAGGCAGACATTTGTAAGCTGGTAGAGAAAAGGATCACATACCACCAAGCTTGTTACGGCTGTTCTTTATACATATATTATGTTTATCTGTTCTATTTGTTGTATATATGTGTACTTGTGATGCAGGGCTTTTTGTTTCTGTTCCTCTTGTCACAAAGAATTTTTATTTTATTTTTGTTTAAGATATTATGTTCTTTAAGATAACTTACGTGACTACGGTGTTCATTGTTGTCTAATAAGGAACAATGATCACATAACATGGCTACTATAATAGCGGCCTAAATCGTAAGGTCCTGATGAACTAATGTTTGTGTTGAATTCTGTCCAACAAATGGAAAACTCGAACTCCCTTTATAACGCACAAATGATATGGAAAAAATTAGATGATGTCATTGAAAAGAGTAATTAGGCCATTTCCAGTCAATGACGGATCTAGGAATTTTTCAGGGGAGGTGTAATATTTAAAAGGCTAAAAATTTACAAAGGACTATACAACGTCTGCATGAGTGTTGTACCATAGTTTTTCTCAAAATAATAAAATATGAAGGATCATAAAATATAGCCTTACATTGCTGGAGATGGAAAAATTTAGCCATGGACTATTCTTTAAAAAATTAATATTTTGGAGGGCTAAATTTTTAGTTCTGGACTACATTTGGCCCTATAACTGGGGATGACCTTAGAATCCATACACAAGTTTAATGTACACATATCATTTTCACTTAAGTTTAACATACACATATCCTTTTCACTTAAGTTTAACATACACACTAATGGGGTCTAACCCAGTGGAAAATGACATTAATTTACAGACTAGAGGTCTCAAGTTCGAACTCCCATAGCATCTTAGTTGTGTGTGTGGCTTGTACTAAAAAAAAAAAAAAAAAAAGGTTTAACATACACAACCTATCGTTGATAAAAAATTAGAATCCATTAAGAAGCAAAGCAAAGCTCTAGTTCTTTCTTCTTTCTCATACATACAATCCAGACTCAGGGTCATGGTGGTGCCGGATCAATGAAATAAGAAGCAACACTATCTTTCATGACTTTTCCAACACGTGTGAAGCCATCATCTTTTTTGTAGACGAGATCCACTATTCTTGTTAAATTAAGAACAAGTACAAGGATAGGCATTGGCACAGAGGTTGGTCCGAGGAACTCCTCGTTGATATCTTTCCACGAATCCACAATCTGTTTGTTGAAGGCATCAATTATTTCCTGCTCATCTGACACCTCATATTGCTTCCTGTAACAATCAATGGCAGAAGCAACATGCCCTCTCTCTTTCTCAAACTGCAAAAATATAATCCAAAATTTGTGAATTGTAATTCTAAACTCTACCGTGGTTTTGGTCGGAGAAGCAAAGCGGTTTTGGATATGCTACTAGCTGTAAAAAGAGTCTAATCCAGCTTGACAGAGCAAAAGTAAGAAAAGGGATTAATTGTGCTCTATAATAAGCAATAGGAACCTTTTTTTTTTTTGGGTCGAAAGCAATATATAGGAACCTATTCCTTAAGAAAAGGGAAATCGACAAGTAAAAGTTACATGGGTGCATTTGTGGTTATTAATTGTAAGCACAAATATTTGTGCTTATAAAAGTCAGAGCACAAAAACCACTCAGAGAGCACAAAAATAAAACCGGTCCTATGACCAATTTTGTAGTAGTGTGCAAAATTATATGGTGTGAGCAAATATTTTTGGCAATAAAAAAAAGGGACATTTTGGAAAAAGCAAAAGGAGAGAGAAAAATTTTAAAAGAAGCAAAAATGGACAAAAATGCCCTTATTTATTTTTAGATTTCCTAAGGAATTCAATACATTTGCATGTCTTTGATTTGAAAGTTGAGTGGTTTTTTTGTCTTTTTTGAAAAAGCTTTGGCTTTTTCCAAAAGTGAAATTTTTTTTATGTCTAAAACCTAAAAAACCTTAAAAAAAAAATAGAAAAATTAACAAAATTTGACAGAAGGATCAAAGTGGACGCATTACTGAATGCGTGTGAGGACTATAAAATTTAAGAATTGAATTCAAAGACTAATTAAAGTGAGAATCATGTAATAGTGAACTACAATAGCTACTTTTGTACCTTGCTCGAAACAATGTCATTCATGAGCCTGCCAATGGTATTGGAAGCTCTAAGAATTTTAGGGTCATTCAACAACCACTCAAAGGACTCCTTGGTTACAATGTCTCCCATGCCAAGTAAAGATATAGTTGTAAGTATGGTGTTACAAGCAGATGCTGTAGCAACACGCATATATTCCTCCATGCTGGGGATGTATCCTTCGTGGAACCATTTGGCCTCATCAAAGTAAGCTTTGGCTGCATTTTTCCACTGCATATATGGGACATATATAATACATAAATTAATTAAAAAGGTGAAAAGTAAATTAAGCTGCGTGTTTAATTAGTTAATTATTACATACAGTTTCTATTGCATAGTAAGCTCTATATGCTCTTCCTTCCTTCACCATCTCCTCCTCCATTTCATTGAAAACATTCAAAAGCGTACGGTAGAATATTTGCATGTACTCTGGCAGTTCATCCATGCAATTCACATTCCATCTGTAAATTGCACACACATATTCATCTGAAGCATATCTACGAAGCAAAATTAAAATTTGGTTTGTTTTTGTTTTTATTTAGGGTTTCTTAGATCTATGTCTAAAAGGATTAGCTGTCAGTAGGTTTAGTCTACAAGTTTTTGGTTCTAGATGTAGGTCTTTTGACATTTATTACTTTTGTTGTTGTGTCGATTTTACCCTTTGAGGTAAATAAAGAAAACATATTGACAATCTAAGTTTAATGAATTATTTCATTGTAATTGAATTCCCAAATTTAAATTTTGAATTCATTCCTTGATAATATTCCTAATATATCGATAAAATACTTGAAAATCTAAATTTAATGAATTATTTCATTGTAATTGAATACCATAATTTAAATTTTGAATTCTTTCCTTGATATGGATAAAATACAATTTAATTAATAAAAATTAAAGACCAACATATTATACCAATCAATTAGATAAGCACTCACATTAAATTATGTACATGACATACATGTAAATAATGTTATTATATTAGCAACGAAAAAAACTTAGTGATAAATTGTGTTATCTATAAGTTAGGAACATAAATTAAAAAACTATCTATAAGTCAGATACAAAAAATAGACAAATAAAATTGTATGTTACATATAAAAAAAAAGGTACATAAAATACTATTACACATTATAAAAAATATGAAAACACATATATATATTTACCTATGCAATAGGCAACATGCAATATGACATAAATGATTATTACCCGATTCAAGTCGTAAGAGACAACATTGGAATAACAAATAATTTTAAAAATAAAAATAATTTTATACGGCACAAAAGTCAAAAGACTTGGATCAAAGTCACCAAAAAATCCGAAGATTAAACCCTATTCCTCAATGAGAATTTGAATTTATATAAACTTTTCTATTTTATTTACTTATAAATATTCATCCAACCTTTGAACTGCTTTCGTAAAGATCTCGAGTTCTTCAAATGTACCGTATGCATCGTAGATATCATCCATTACTGCTATCAGGGCAATCACTTTTGTGAGAATCTTTCTTCCAACGAGGTATTGAGGCTCAAAATAGACCCCCACAACCCAGAAGTATAACTCCACAATTCTGTCTCTTGCAAAAGGTAGCTTCCTTTTGAAGTCTACTTCTTTCCACCACCTAATTCATTGCTAATAATATTAGTTAATGAATTACTAACTTAATTACATGTGCTAATCTCACATAATTAAAAAATAACCTACCTAATAATCTCACTGAGCTCCTGTTTGTGCAAAGACTGAACAAGATCGAAATCTGACTTGGCAAGTTTTAATAGAGCTTCATTATGTGAAGCTTCATCTTGGTAGATGGACATGTACCGACGGGTGCATAACCTCTCTAGACTCTTTCGGAGCGGTCTCTCTAGGGCTTGAGCTATTTGTTCTGCCAGTTGATAGCTTACATGGGTTGTTGCCGACTCCAGATGTTTTGTCGTGAAAACAAGAGCCTCTTCTAGTATATCTTCTCCATGCACTCTCAGATGCGTTGCTTCATAAAAACTTAGCATTCCCGGCACATCAGCGATTAAGCTTTCCTTGAAGCCTCCATTTTTACTATCTTTGAACTTGTTGAATATTCCTGCTCGATTGCAGCAAATGGACACATAACACATAAATATTAAGAAATAATTTGGCCATATTCAGTCTCGTTACATTAATCTCTAATAACTTACTGCATGAAACATTATGTCCATGTTGTCTTAGTAGCCGAAAACCAAGGGAAACATTGTATAGGTCACCATCACCATCATCATCATGGAAATGATTTGCAGCATATATATGTTCCAGTGCTTCTTCTATTTCCTTTTCAAAGTGGTACGCCACGTCGAGGCGCTGGATTGCATCAATTAGCTTCATCTGATATGAAAAATCACCTGCACCAGTTGTGAATACTCCCCTCCTCACTACTTGTTCCAGGTCTTCAACTTCTTGTTGCTTATGGGAATAAGTTATCTGCACCCATAACATTAAATGAGCAAAATACATGTCAAATTTCTTTTGAAACAAAAAACAACGTGGATTTATTAATTTAATTGCATGATATATAAATTACAATGTCTTCTGGATCATAATTCATGAACTGATCCCCCCAAATGCTCGGATGGAAATTTGCTGTCCGTCGAACAATTTGATCAGGCT